AAGCAATGTAATTTTGGTATCCCACAAAAATTTCAGAAATTCTTTTCTGGCTTTAGCGGAGAGTCTTTCATGAAATTTAAGAATAATTTGCTTTTAATATGAATCTTAACTACCTCAAGTTAAGTACGTAATATTCAGATAATTTTTTATCTGAGTTATAAGTAATAAAATCGTAAATGTACATACACACATTTACATAAAAAAATTATTGTTGCAAATGTCTTAAGAGCTTTAATGTGCTGCAAAAATAATAATATTGGTCTGTTATTTTAATTTTCATTCTATACAGAATTAAGTTTTATTTATGTATATTAAAATTATTTATACTTTATACTTTTATTATCGTTTATTCACTTTACGCTCACCGATTTATCAGGAACAAAATGTACGTTATCTCTAAAATACAAAAGAATAATACAGATAACCTATATCTTTTTGTACACTTTTCAAGGAAGCATGTCCCTTTGTGTCTGTACATAATGAGGTATTCTTTATTCAGTTATGCTAATTAAAACTATCCGAAGTATGCGACATTTATGTCAATAATTTTCTTTTAACTGAATCAAAACCAGTTTACTTATTAATATCAAAATACTGGACGCGAAAACTGTATAACTGTATACTATTTGTACTGTGCAGTACAAATAGTATACAGTATTATATTACCTAACTGCGCACAGTCATTAATATTAAATATAATATAATGTTCATAATATATGCGCACTATACATTCACACAATAATAGCGCACAGTAACTGCGCACTATTTGTACAGTGCAGTACAAATAGTATACAGTTGTATTTATAAACACAAAAAGTTTGTATTTATAAATGCAACTTTTTTGGCCCCAGAACTTCTATTTTATTCAAAGAAAATATTAATTTAAGCTCTATTGCACCAAAATACCAAATACGATAAGTTCCAAAATATCTTTATCGTGAAATTGAATATTGCAATATCAGAAGAGCATTATTTTTAAGCCGGTTCTACCTATTATACTGTTCAAATATGTGAGTTTTCCTCACTGAAAGCTAGTTAAAAATTTGCAAACAAAAGTATAGAACATATAGATAGAGAGTAAAACGCATTACGCATTGGAATAAACTAGAGATTGCAAATACACTAACTACCAATAAGTATTTGGACACCTGTGATAGAAAAGGAAAACTAACTTTATTCAAAATCAATAGTTGGTAGAGCCTCCACGAGAGGTAATTACAGCGTGGACCCTCCGGGGCATACTTTCCACAAGTCTTGTATTGACAGCTAGTGGTATTTTCTTCCACTCGGCTTGGATAAGACATAGAAGTTCCTTCACCGATTTTGCACGGGTAGTGCACCCCTGAATTCGGCGATGCAACTCGTCCCAGAGGTTCTCGATAGGGTTCAGGTCTGGACTCTGGGCAGGCCAGTCCATTCGATGAACTCCATTGGCAGCGTCCTTGGTTAACGTCGAAACATGACAACTGGCATTGTCGTCCTGAAAGTAACAGGGGTCCAACTCGTAAAACTGCCACAACGTAGGAAGTACATTGTCATCCAAAATAGTGCAGTAGGCATCGGAGTTGAGCTTACCATGAATGGGGACCAAGGGTCCCAGCCCATATCAGGAGAAACACCCCCAGACCATAATTCCATCTCCGCCGAACTTGACTGTTGGCACAATGCATTCTGGCAGGAGACGTTCTCCAGGTAGACGCCAGACCCAGACCCAGGTAAAGGGTGAACCTCGATTCGTCACTCCCAAGAACCCGTTTCCACTGATCTACGGTTCAATTTCGATGTGCTTTGCACCACATTAACCGAGAAGCGCGGTTGGACTTTGTGATCAAAGGCTTATGGGCAGCAGCACGACCATGAAAACCAAGCAGATGTGCTTCCTTACGGATGGTACTCATTGAAACAATACTCACGGATGCCTGTTGAAACTCCTCGCGGATGAGGGCCATCGGTTGGGTGCGGTTCTTCCGAATTTCTCTGGACAGCACTCGTCGGTCTCTATCTCCCAATTTCGTTCGTCTGCCGACTCGGGGCATATTCCGACAATCAACCCTCACCTTCCACTTCTTAATCACATAGGCCACTGTCGATTTTGGGTACTACAGATCGCTAGATATGTCCCTTAAGGATCGGCCACATTTGTGATACCCGATAATTATACCTTTCTCGAAATCAGAGAGCTCCGAACTGCGAAGCATCTTGCATACGACTAAAGCCGATGCTGTTTCCTACACGATATATACCGGCGGAGTCCGCGACGTACCTTAGGACCGCAGATATCGTCATTTCCATAGGTGTCCAAATACTTATTGGTAGTCAGTGTATATCAATGTTGAATTTTTACATTTTCGCAATTTCTACATCTTTCATCTCAGTTGGTGGCATGCATCAGATGATGCCATGAGTGTATTAAGTTATCAATGCAACCTATAATGTTGCGTTGATAATGATCGTTATCATATGCTTAAAATGCAAGCAAGGCTTTAATTTTCTAACGCGCATCTGTGTGTTCCTTTGTTATGCTAGTTGTTATGAAATATTAGTTAGGATGGATAATACTTCAAATGGTGTTATAATGTTATTGAGTACACATAAACATTTTACTGAATACACAAACATGGTACAAAATTCCTGAAAAATGTAGACGGCAATAAATTATTGCTGTATACACTTTTCCGAAATTTTGACAAAGCATGCAATAGAAGAGAATATTTTTGGCTCTCTGGATGACAAAAGAAAAGAGCAAATTATTTCCCTGGTAATAAACCGTGAAAGAATATAAATAGACTGTGAAAGAATATAAATATGATGCATTTTTGGAAGGACAATTTGCTTCTTACTACTGTAAAGTTTCACGTCAATACCAGTCCTGTAATATGACTAAGTAAAGAAAATATAAAACTGAGCTCATGGGCAAAGTTTGCTAATTAAGAGGCACTGAAATATGTTTTACCTTAGAATTAGTAAAATTCAGTAATATGCAACTCCTGCAATGTTGAAACATCGCAACTAAGACGCAAATCATTTGGTGTAATATCTGATCTTAACCTTTAGTATAAGCAGTGTTATTCTTGAAAAAAGAATAACATCGAAACTAAATTAAGGTAAAATATAATAGCGAATATAATATAAGAAATAATTGCTTAGAAGGCTTAATAAGTACTAATACTAAGTTTGAAGTAAAGTAAAAGTAATGAAAATGTACAAAGACCTTCACTACTGCGCTAATTCACTTACAGTACGTCTGGTGATCCACACTCAATACTATAGTTCCTTAAAATTTAAAAGACTGCTTTTAAATTTTAGATCTCAGATTAATTTCAAGTTATGAGATAGTTTAGATTAAGGCATTAATTTTAGGTAATTAGCTATGAAAAAGTCATATATTGCTCCTAACAAAAAGTCTAAGAATACATGAAGAGGAATGTTTCATGCAGAACTGTGTAATAATTCATTAAAAATAGGGTCAAACAAATCCTGTAATTTAATAGGAACTTTATTGTCTATAACCTGAATAAGGAACTTTTGTTTTGTTTTCTGAAATTAAATTCAGGCAACTATTTGTGTCAGATAAAAATTTATTTTTGAAGTTACTGCATATTGTCAAATTCAAATGCACATACAAAAATAAAGGATAATAATTGTCAAATAATATAAAATATTTAATTAAGGTAATTGATGTCTATATATGAAAAGTGTATTCTTTAGTCCATTATATAAATTAAAATTGATAACATTAATATTTATTAAATATTTATTTAAGGTAAATATACGCACATATGAAAGAATTAATGCTTTTAATTAATATATACTTAGCGTTTCTGTAAAAATAATAGTAAAATAGCTAAAGAATAGCTCGTGTTTCATTAAGGATGAAAGAAAATTACCCAAAGCTTCAGAAAGCTAACAAATAAATTTTTATGCCTAACAATCAATCATTTTAAACAAGAGCATCCATAGCTTTAATTTACCAGTAGCCATGTATTGCACATTATTATAATTCATTGATGATTCAGTGTGTTATTATAGGGTTCTAGGAGTTTAAAACGGGCAGAGCATAAACCATTCCTTGTGATGAAAAGTTAAAAATTGCATCCGAAATTATTCAAGTAAACAAATCATAATTTTTCAAGAACACAATCTACATATATGATCATGCTAGTTTGAAAGAGAAGCCTGATCATATATTCAAATTTTCAAAACTTACTTTCAACTTATGACTGCAGTTATGATCATAGCAGTTTTTCATGCATTTCCGGAAGATTAGTAACTGTATATAATAAACAAAAAGGAAAAGTATTTTGAAATCCGTCATGAAACGGAGCTCTAAATGAATCATCCCGATACAATCGATTACAGTAAATAATATATCTGACACATAAAAAAACTTACTGTCATAACTGTGGTACATAAAAAAACTTAAATCGTTTCAATCTATTGTGAAGATTTACAAATGTTCTGTATGAGATCCTATTGTCACGACGGATCCAGCCTGTAGTCCAATGGAGTAAAATGCCAAAGCTTTCCTCATTTGCCTCTTAAATTTGCTGGACTACACTATATTTAGTATATGTTTGGTTTTAGTATGTGTTTAGAAGGGTATATGTTTAAGGCATTGCGTTTGTGCCAAACCTGCTTCCGGATCTCGATGTCTCTGAAAATCCTCATTTTCTATGCCGCTGTGTCAGTTATATCAAATATGCTTCAACGTATGCGAACTGAAATGGACTGTAGACTGGATGAGTGACAAGAGGATGTCACATAGAGTATTTTTGATATGCGACAGGGAAATGAAATTAATAAAATCTAATTTGATGCACCATTGTCAAATATTCACCAATTAACTCTCTCGCCATAATTATTTGTAAAAAGATGATTCTTTTTTACTCATCCTTTATACATACGTGAGTAATTTAATATTAGACTTCAGAAATGCAGACCTATAATTTGGGAATAGTTTCATTTTAAGTTATTCCATCATCTTAAATTTACTCTTGCAGGTGCCTAATGCTTGGAAACTACCCTCGGTCTTCACATCATCTTTCTGAGAATATCACAGACATTCTCAAATGGTACTAGCTCTTTATATTTGGATGTAAATCTGTAATGTAAATAATTTTATTCTATATGTTTAATACGTGTACTAAACTGATGCAAAGAATAAGAAATAAGAATTTTACTTTCATGTAAAAAAAGGTGCCTCTGAATTGAATTACGATTGATTCAGAGTTTTGTATACATAAGAAGATATGAATGCAATTTTTTGGCCTGAAACTGGAGGAATCGGGATTAAAGGTACAGAGTTTGTATTAATGCCACAGAGTGAAATTTCTATTATAAAAAATATCAATAATGTATCTAGAAATTGGATCATCTAAATTTAAATCTTTTCCATCGGAGAAAAGATTCCAACCAGACACGCACATATGTTATTTACTGAATACAGTCGAGCTATTTTTTCTCTCTTAACAGTGATGTCTGCGTTGTTTTTTGTTATTTAAATATTTCTTGGGCAGATGTCTTTTATATGTCACCTATTTTGAAGCAGACAGCCGCCTTTCTATGTTTTACCTCTATAGAAAGGCATTGATTTTCCCGAACTTTACTGCGCTTTTGTTACCTTCTATTTTGAAGTATAGATGTAAGAAACAGAAATATTCCTTAGGTTAAAACCCTGATCTCTTCTCTAGCAATTCCGGATGGACATTTCTTCTAGCAACTCGATCATTATTATTAATTTTGTATTAAGAAATATAAATGAAAACGGTTCATTTATACTAACAGCATTTGTATAAATATTGTATAAATAAAAAGTGTCTAAGTTGAGTCTCATTTTTAGGATTTGCTTGTGCAAATGTGTGAGCAAAATCTACAGAATATAATTCTTTTGATCTTAACCTTATATTTTTCACATCATATTTTTGTATTTATTTAATGTTCATATAATTCTAGGTATATTTTCTTTGGATGTTCAATTTTTTTCTTTTCGGATAATATATCATCTCAAATTTTATGCACTATTTAATAACTAATTTTATTTCCAAAATTGCAACCAAATCTTTGTAGTTGCTTTATATGATGACTTTAATTACCGCTTAGCAACGGAATTTGGCTTTAAATGATATTGCACAAAATTTCGAAGTCCCATTCAACAGAATTAAGGCTGCTGCATTAGACAGTAAATATCGAACATGAGGGAATTCAAAACACTTTTCTGGTTAATTTTGTGTAAATATCAAAATCCAGGTTACTGTGTTAGTCTCAGGACCTGGTCTTATGGTCTTAGAATTATCCCGTGATTTCTCACAACCATGTTTTCCTCTCGCGAGAGAAGAAAAGTAAGCGTGAGAAAGTAAACATATGGAAGCTTTAAAATAATGCTCCCGTTAATAAAATATTTGATATAATTATTATTGAACAGTTTCTGCTGTTTGTATTAAGCTTTAACGAATTAAAGATATAATTAAAATCGTAATGCTTAACAGCTCATATTCATCCACTTTATTTTTCCTTACGGTTGATATTATTATACAAAGACTGAACGCAGAAAGTCGATATTTACACATCAACATATTTACGCTATGTAAGTTGACATGTTTGGCACGATGGTAAGGGAGCCGATTGCCATAGCGGTAACTTCGGGTTCTAACTATGGAGAACGTAAGGATATTTATAAATGTAGAATGTATTTGCAGTACGGGATACTTGAAAGCACTGTGGAGCACAAAGTTCGTTATACAGGCTAGTGATAAACAAAGACGGGATAGGAGACACTTGAATCCACCGTCCGATCCTCAAAAGTCATTGACAGGGGCAAAACAATTTCTTCTCGGACATGATGAATTCATGGCCCTGGTCTTGATGATTAGCCACAGGATATACTATAAAGCCCTACTTTATGTAATGCTATATGAACGGCTTTTCTGTCAAGCAGCACCCTCGCAAAGACAACTTTAGCATATTCCGTGTTAAACATTTAGACGATACGCTTCGCTCAGTAATAATTAGTATAAATCCTCTGATAAAATCTCATCGTACGCCTCATTAAAACTGATAACTAATTTTCGGACATTCTTCATGGAGAAGAGTACCCAAAACCACGCATTCAAATAAATAACTAAATAAAATTACAAGTGTATATTTTCATTGCAATTTAATTGATTTCAGCAGCGTGTTGTACTGCTACATATTTCTAATGTTTATTTTTACTGCTTTGGATTAATTCAACGTTCCTTTTTCTTACAGAATGCTCACAGCCATCATCCTATGCCTTCCATTGTTGCCAGATGACAAAGGGATGTAAATTAAAGTGTACCATCACACGTTCACCTTAAAAGAGATGGAACAGAATACTGTGTTTTCATTTATTTGTCTTCAGCTGTGAACGTTCTTTTTTATATAAAATAGTAAAAATTGCTGAAAATCATCATTTTCTGAAAATTACATTTCAGTTATGTATTAAACTTTGTACAAAATCGTAAAAAAACTTAATGATATGGGAGAAAATGTTATGTGAAAAAACTGGATGTTGTGCTTGTTGTTATGTTCAAATTACGTGTTTGATAATGAAGAAAGTATGTCTTCCTTGGAAGCCAATCTCAATTCAAGTAAATGATACTTTCTGTGAATACCAATAATGGAATATTTATATATTTCACTTGCTGAAATGGAACTTTCATTATCAATGGCAATGCTCATGTCGACATAGCTTTAATCGCTAATGGGTAATAGTTCATGGTAAGTTTTTGTTTTCATATGTTCTCAAATTTTTAAATTAATGTTTTTTATTTCCTTTTGTTGCAAAACCGATTTGTTTGTTTCCTTTCATCATAAGTGTTTTAAATAATAATGCAGCAGCTTTAAAATACATTCGGGAAGTTTATAAAAATAATACGTATAATTACTATGCTTTTGATAATCTCTCTCTCTCTCCCTACACACACACACACACACACACACAATATATATTATATATGATAAAATTAATAGCTCTATAATTCTTCATTTTAATTTGTTATTGTCTCTTTCTGTTCTAAAACTAGCAACTGGTTACCTCTTAACATTTCCTGGACTGCGTCATTTCTAGATTAATCCATATCATATGATTTCCACATAACGATGATTGCGTAGCTAATTCAGACCTTAAAATTTCCAGAAACGAAATTTTTTTCTTAAACAAAGCTTCCATATTGAGTAACTACATGCTTTGTTTCCCCATTTTAGCCTATCTAAAGTGCTTCTGCGCTACTCGAATCTTACTAAAAACCATATAAGAAAACTAAATATTCTGGAACAAGCATGATTATTGTGCTAAGATATTTGTGGCTGTAAAACGTTTAATTAAAATTATTTGAATGCTTAAAATCTGCTCTGGCTGCTAGCTTGTACTATTGTATGCTTTGACAACTACCTCCTTTATTTGCTATATATTATTACACATACACGCACATGTAGAGAGAGAGTCTATAATACTACTATAATACTGTCTATAATACAGGAGAGCAATATTTCATAAAATACATATCTGAAAACTGTACCTGACTTGATTAGAGTAATTTATAATGCGCTGAGGGATTTCAAATGTTTGTGGTATAAAAGTGTAATAAATGAAGTAAAAATATGTTTAAAGATTCTCTCGGTGTTTGCTTTTGTAATGCACCTCATCACTTAGTGGGGTGTTTAGCGTTGGGGACATGGTAACTTGGTTGGACGTAGTACACTTGGACATACTCCAACAGCGGCTAGCTATAGTTACAGGGAGATCACATGAGCTTTATTTTTCAAGATGAGGTTCAACTGTATCTTCATGAATGTATTGCACTTTCTTGGTGCTCAGCGTTTC